AATTTCACCTAAATTACCATTTTAACACAAGATTAGAAACTTAGCAGATACCCTCTGAATCTTTTTATCTCTACAATCTAGCTCCCTCAAATTAGAACACTCCTTTTTATTGCTGGTGATGCTTTCCCCTCACACACACAATTATTTCAAGTGGAAATGAGGAGGAAAATCTGCCTACACTACTTTATTAGCTTCAAAACTTATCTTTATAGTGTACTTTTCTTTTCAAAAGCTGCAGGGCTTACTAGCATGTCATAAAACGTTAAAAAAAAAAAAACCCAACCAAAAAACCCCCTAATTAATTCCCCTGACAGATTTGCCATTCCACATATGAGGGTCAACTCTAATAGTTTCACTTGTCAACCCACAGGATTTCAAGCATTTAACAAGAATCATATGATATAACAAGAATATCCAATAATTTATACTTCCCCCCTTACAAATGAGGCAGATCCTAGGTCACCACAGCTATATGTTTAAGTTTTTGCTCCACAGATACTGGATGAAACATTTCTGAAATAACTCTATTTCAAAATTAATGCATTAATTCTGCAAATGCCTGTGCATGTACACATGAAACCATTATGAGTAACAACCTGTCAAGAAGGGCAAGCATCACGCTACAYTACACACTTCTGCAACATCCTAATGAAACTGCTCATGGTCTYCTTTGCAACAAGCACAAGGTAAAGTCTAAGGCTGGCAAGGCACTCTGGAAGRTCTGTTGATAAGATGCTATAAAAACAATAATTATTCTACAGCACTATGTCAGCAATGTTTGCYGTGGTTGAACAGAACCAAATTTTGCAGTCTTTACCACAAGTAAGCAAAAGAAGTTAGAATTTCACAGATCCATCTGAATGTGGGAGGGAACCAAGTTCAAGGAAAGTGCTTTCTGGATTTCATCAAGAAGGTCATTAAGGCCAGCCCGCCCAGCAGCTGACAAYGCCATCTACTAAATGAAGAATAAAATGTGCTCCAAAGCAGCCTGTAATACACTGCAGATACAAAACCCAAGAGCTATAAAAGTTACCATGCCAGATGCCAGGAAGAAGCAGAAAAGATCAGACACTGCCAACAGCCAAGTTATAGGACACTCAATATATGGAGCTTGTTACACAACAGTCCTTCAAAGATGTCCAGAAGGCATKAAGGGATTTTCACCTAGGGCTGAAAATTCCCTCCACAGCTCACAGAAACCCTGACCAACACGCTTTCCTGATCTCAGCTCTGTTTAGTATTTCAGCTCTCACCAAGGCCAGGGAACGTTTTCCATGCCACTCCAGAAGACCCTGMAATTTTCCACCTATAACGTTGGTCAATACCTAGTTCTTCAGATGATAATCACCATGATTCAACAGGCAATTTCTTAACCCAAAAGAAGAAAAACTCTCTTCTCATGCACAAGCAATCAGAAGAAAATCTACATCATATCAGATCTATATAGTACAACAAAAACATTCAAAATACAGAGCACCAGCTAAGACACTGTCCTGGTTCCCTGCCACTGAAGGGCAGGGCTCCATTTTCACACCTCTCCTCTCTGCACTGCCTCTCACGTGTTCCCAGCACCTTACCCACCAGGCGTGTTCCTGAACTCCAGTCTCAGTCAAAGCCTCTTCCAGGACCGTCCTGATGCAACATGAATCCCACCAAAAGCAGGGTGCAGCTTCCTGCAGACCAAGCTAACAAGTTGCCCTAGCAAGCTCATTGAGACTACCAGTTTAAGCACAAGGAACAAGGGGGAAAAGTGCACTTTGGGGAAAAGAAGCATGGAAAAAAACTTCATTTCAGCAACAGCTTTCTGTTAGAAAAGTTAAAAAAATCTAATACCTAGTCCAGTCCTTCAGACATTAATATAAGGCATTCAAAATATCTACAATGAGCTTGTCTTTCTAATGTCAGGACCATCTCCTATCCAATCATACAAACCACTGTTTTAAATGTTTTGATAAACAACAATTAGAAAGGTTGCTGTGGTATTACCCTCCCAGCTTCCATCACCCCAAAGTTCAGGGGCAGAG